CACATCATCAAAATTACTTCGACCGTTGTATTTCTTATTTAATTGTACCTAAATAGATCATGGTAATTAGATCCTCAAGATCATTCTAAAAAGATTTCCTACTTTAGATCTTCATAACTATACCTAAACAAATTATAACTGGCATACCTTTATATGAAAAGAGAAAACTGATAGATCATCACAATTACACATCAATAGATCTTGCACAATAATTTTTAACACCTGTATTAATTATAGATTTAATGAGAAGCAAGAACTATTACATGTTACCTCTCACTTAAACTTGTTAGTTATGACTACATACACCAATGCTAATCTAATGTGTTAGATAAATAGACAAGTAGACATACAAAAGTTATTTTGAATTAAAATATATTTTTATCATGTTACAAAATATAACTGGTTGATCTTCCTATCTCGAAGAACACAACTAATATATCATCACTATCATAGTTAAATAGATTTTACAAATAGTAAATCGGTAATCTTGGTAATTAATAGTTTAACTATAAACGAAAAGTACAAGTTACATTACTCTAAAAGAAGTACATGTCACTTCTCATTTAAGCATGTCAGTCCTTACCACATAGGCTAATGCTAATCTAATGCAACATATAGTGAAACCTGACAGAAAAGTCATGGTCAACTAAAATGTTATTCTTATCATCTTATGCTTAGACAGTTGATACGGCTCCCAACATAGAAAGAAAAGGTTTGGATGATCATAAGAAATGGAGGAATGATTAGGAACCAACATAAACATCCACGGAGAAGTACATGAATAATCATAGATCACTGCAACCGAAGGCTCAACAGCATGATAGTTGTTTATTTATTTATTTTTCTTAAAAGATAGTTACAATTGTATATGAAAGCAAGAAATATGAGAGGAGGTTGGATATGAACTAATTGGATTACTCCATACGCAAGCATAAACTGAGAAAGAGGCATAGGGATGCATACATATACGAGAGCATGCAACAATCAATCTAGGGGGCACGGGGAATGTATCTGGTGCACCCATTCTTGAGGTGCTACTAGTGCACCAGATGTCGTAGCACATTTTAACATATTGGCAAAAAAACTGGGGAAAATCTCTAGAACATTGACACAACATCAATGTATGTTGTCACAAAATTTTGTATCAAAATTTGAAACATTGTTCGAGATACAAAAATGACCAACTTGACATCAAGGTGATAATGAGCCAAATCCCTGTGTTTGTACTATTCGGTATTGAGTTAATATTTTTCTTTTTCGAGCTATGTTTCAAAAAAATTTGAAAACTTGTGGCATACACTGTTAGCCCCAGTGCACCAGATATTCTACTAGGGGCATGAGGGTTGTGGATAGTTTGCTTGGTCTATCTACAACTCAATGCCTAACTAGGTAAACATAATATGGAAGAAAAAAAATATCATTAGATTTATTTTAAATTAATATTTTACAATTATTTTGTGTTATGTATTAACACCATAATCATATGTTAACATACATAATAGAGGTCAATGTCACAAAATTTTTGATTCCTAAAATATCGTCTATTATGTGATGAAAGGATGAATAGGTGTAACAAATATATTGCATAAGATACAAATAATTAAAAAATTGATAGGCTAAACACAAGATGCCCTCACATTTGAGAGGGACACCTTGCTAGTTCATATAAAAGTAAATGCTTCTTCTGGTTAGATGAAAACCGCATCACCAGGTTGTCACGAAATATATTTTCATAATATGTCAAAATTTCTGCATAACAGCTATATATTAAAGTGGATGGCCATCAATTAGACAAATGACACATACATAAATTCCTAAGAAAATGCAAAAAACATTGAGCCATAAATTTGGTTGACCAAATTAACCACAAACATTAATTCGTACATGCTATAAACCCAACTTTATTATGGCCCCATCTATCAATCAATCCAATTGTCATTTTGGATAGTTACCTGGCTTTTAACAAACTTTGATCACACTTCAATACAAAATAATGATATAACTTCAATCATCTTTGTGATGTCATCAATATCGCTGGAGTATGACTTCTAGAAACATTGATAGGATTGATGTGAAGTGACAATGATTTAAAATTGGGAAGTTACTTAATGTACGATGAACTCTACATCTAATTTTTGTACGGTCAGACAATTGATCATGAGGATGCTTTATCGAGTTGCAAGCAATGCTCGCTACCATGCATCATAATAAAATTTGACTTAGGTTGTCGTATGTTAAGCATCACTCCATAAATTTCTTACATAGGGTGAGCTTAGTGGTTGACACGCCAATCTAATATCAAAATCACCCTAGGTAGTTGTGACACAAAAATATGCATCATCGACAATGTGGGTCTTTTTTTCGTGTTGGATAATATTAGGTTGCCAAACTCCTCAACTAGCCACTCTCTCTGCTGGTGGGAAATACCTCCAGATAAGAAATTCAAGCTAATATTTGTCATCACTATTATTGTCTTCATTCGCATTGTTTTGCTTGCTTTGTTCTGACTTTTCCACTTAGCCGACACTGCCTTAGTAAAGGAAAATATGCCCATTTCCTATCGAATGGGAAAGTACATGATCATCATACATATGAGACAAATGTGAAAAGGTATGAAAAATAATAGAAGAAATACAAAGTTGGATTTATGCATTTTTCTTTCATGATGCTCATCATACCATGATCTAGTATCTCCTCATCAATGGGCATGTAATAACTTTGGAACCTCAATGTCCCATAGGACTACTTATGATCTATGTATACGATGTTCTGCATGCCCACTTTAGAAGCATGTATGCATGCCCTTGCTTGTTGTAAGTCCCCTGTAGTTTCATACTACCCCCATGACCAGCAAGAATGCATGAGATATATTAAATGAAACTACTTGTTGTTCACATTTTTACAAACTAGTGAAAATCTTCTGCTGCAACAAGCAACATGCCTCCTGTATGGGGACAGGTTGGTGTGACAAGCAAAATAGCTACCATGAGAAACAAACTACTGCAGTGCCTAGTAAAATATCTACCATGGCAAACAAACTATCTTTGTGGCTAGGAAAGTCTTGGCCATGTCATTCGCTCGGGCGAATATAAAATTTGATGTCAATTATGTGCCACATAAACCTTGCAATATGGTCCAGTTGCTAGACGTTGTTCCTAATTGGGCTACATATGATACACTAGGAGTATTCAGAGATAAAATGAATAATAGAAAGCATCAAATGATAATCTTGATTTGCACAAGTATTGTACCTCGCTCAACAACAAAAAAACTCACGTTGTTCCAACTATAAGGTTCATAATTTTTATCCAAAATCCAAGTTTTCTAACTTTGAAAAAAATGTAGTACATCTACAATAATAAACTAGTATTAATAAATCCACCATAAAATATATTTTCATAACATATTGTTTGATATCATTGATACTAATATTTACCGGCAAGCTTGGTCAAACATAGAAAACTTTGGCTTAGGACAAAACTTATAAGACTTATATTTTGGAAATTCAGGGACAACATAAAGCAAAATATTTCTTACTCAAGTGGGCATGTAAATCATTGCCACCACATCATGGGCATGCCCATCATTTTCATTCCTATTGTAAGTGTGTTTGTTGTTGTTCCTAGTGTTGTCCCCATCATTGGGACCAGATCCATGTCTAGTGTGCCCACGATCACCTAAGCTGACACTGATGTTCCTGTGACCACAATTCCAAGACGAGCACATTGACAAACTAAAATAATTTACCCAGCAAAATGGCCACCACTTCCATGGTGCAACATCGAGACCAAGAAGGCACCGATATCCTATACGGTTGGTCCATTCCCACTTGTTCTAGCGATTTTCCAATGCCCGTGTCAGCCGATACTAAGAACATCATTGGCTTTGTCTGAAGGAAGAATAGTGAACTTAGAATTACCATTCGAAACCTGGGCGGAAACTCATAGCTGCAAGACCTGGGCACATCACATCCTTCTTTGAAATTCACAACCTGCAATTCACAATTTGTAGGTATGAATTTTTTCATCCTGCATAGTGTTTCTAATGTGGTGATTTGAGATAATTTCTCGTGGAATTTTTTATAGGCACTGTATAGATAGTTAGATAGGCACTAGAGAGAGATGATCGATCAAGAGAGGTTTGCATGCTGAATGCATAGGACATGTTGGAATTTGCCATGAGAGTGTGTGTGTGTGTAGAGAGAGAGAGAGAGAGAGAGAGAGAGAGAGCAGAGAGAGAGAGAGAGAGAGGAAGCCACATTGCATACGGATCGAGAAGAAATTAAGAAATCCTATTCTTGCATATATACAACTCTTACGTAAATCTTACGTAATGTGAGAGTGGGAAATAACTGCCTACAACAGAACATGGAAGTAACCGGCTCAAACTAAACTAGTACGTTAGAATTTTTGTAGAACTTTGCATGTAAGAATAGCACTGCTCGTAGAAATTTGCAGGGCTTTGCTACACCTACATAATTTTTTTGTGAACCTTATGTACTAACCAACGTGGGGGTTTAGGATTGGAGTTGGAGGGAGGGAGGTGCCCACCAGGTGAAATTCAGGGAAGGGGGCTTTATATTAGTGGGAAGGTTGCCTAGCACATCTATAGGGGCACTTAATTAGGTGTAGGATTTTCAAATTTTGTATATGCAATGATGAGTTTAACTACCACTATTAAGTTTACAGCATTTTAGTGCGAAGTTGCGCTCCAGCGCTTCCTCCTTGGTCTCCGTGAAATTTTCTAGCATTACATAAAATGGGGCAGATGCTGTGATACTTAACATAACCTTGCATATATGATGAAGTACCTTTTTAGATAAATTTAGGCATGTGTATTACAATGTATGTGCATACACTTACAAACAAAATGGGTCATAACAAATTTGTACTATTTCAGGTATAAGCATTATTCTTGGAGTAGCAAGTGGGGCTGGCCTCATTCTTTTGGTTCTCGTTATATACTTCATCGCCTACAAATATAAGCAACGGAGATCGCAAATGTTGAAACAGAAGTTTTTTGAGCAAAATCGTGGGCAATTATTGCAACAATTGGTATCCCAAAGAGCTGACATTGCGGAAAAAATGATCATAACCCTGGAAGAGCTAGAGAAGGCAACAAATAATTTTGATAAAGCTCGTGAGCTTGGTGGTGGTGGGCATGGAACAGTATACAAAGGAATTTTATCGGACCTCCACGTCGTAGCCATCAAGAAACCAAAGATATTGGTTCAAAAGGAGATTGATGAATTTATTAATGAGGTTGCCATCCTATCACAAATCAACCATACGAATGTAGTAAAACTCTATGGTTGTTGTCTTGAAACAGAAGTCCCAATGTTGGTCTATGAGTTTATATCCAATGGTACTCTTTACGAGCATCTTCATGTTGAAGGACCAAGTTCTTTGCCATGGGACAAAAGGTTACATATAGCAATTGAAACAGCCAAATCCCTAGCATATCTTCACTCAACGGCTTTAATACCTATCATCCACAGAGATATCAAGTCTGCTAATATACTTTTGGATGATACTCTAACATCTAAGGTAGCAGACTTTGGATCGTCAAGGTACATTCCATTAGACAAATCAGGTTTAACAACAATGGTGCAAGGTACATTAGGATATTTGGATCCTATGTACTTCTACACGGGGCGCCTCACAGAGAAAAGTGATGTTTACAGCTTTGGTGTTATGCTCATAGAACTGATGACTAGAAAGAAGCCATTTTCCTATATTGATTCTCAAGGCGATGGCCTTGTAGCACATTTTTCTACCTTGTTTGCTGCAGGTAGTTTGTTCCAGATATTAGATCCCCAAGTTATGAATGAGGGTGGAAACAAAATTGAAGACATTGCTGCAATTGCAGTAGCTTGTATAGAATTAAGAGGGGAGGAACGTCCAACCATGAGACAAGTGGAATTGAGGCTGGAAGGAATTCAGTCACATGTGGAGCATGTTGAAGCACTAATGGAAGAATCTGATGTGAATGGTACTATGATAAATTCTCCAGGAACTATAGATGGAATAAGTGACCAAGAAGGCCTTAGTAGCCAATATAGTACGGAAGAAGATTGCACATTGTCAAAAAGTTATCCACTGTAGTTATGCTTACACGTGAGCTAGACCCCGTTTATTTTTGATAATTTATGTGCATTTAGTTACATCACTGAAGCTATGAGAGCAGTGGCTCATTCATAAGGATTTTGGTTGTCTCGCGTGCCCACCCTGGTTCAATCCTAGGATTGAAGCTAATGTTGTACTTTCACACAATTGCATGTTCGTGCGACTCTAGGTCTTTTTAGATTTCTATTGTTTTGATTTTCATACTCATTGTAAAATCACGGTCAAATTTGAGTACTCATTGTATTTGTCTACCTGGCTGCTCCGTCGGCTATGGCATCCCCACTCTTGGCCTCGTCGTCTCCATCGTCATCTTCCTCGTCGGCACACCTATGTACCGCCACAAGGTGCCTCAGGGTAGCGCGATCACGTGCATTGGCAAGGTGCTCGCCGCCGCGCTCTGCAAACGGTGCCTGCCGTTGCCGGTGAACGCTGATGAGCTGCATGAGCTGGAGCACGAGGCATACACAAGGAAGCACAAGTTCCGGATGGAATCCACGAATGACATGTGGTTCCTCAACAAGGCATCCGTGAAGGATGTCAGTGGCGAGTCCTCGACCTCAAAATGGAGCCTCTGCACGGTGACGGAGGTGGAGGAGACAAAGCAGATCTTGAAGCTGGTCCCTTTTGTGGTGACCATGTTCGTGCCGTGCACGCTCATCGCCCAGACCAACACCCTGTTCGTGAAGCAGGGCACGACCATGAACCGGCACATGGGGCCACACTTCGAGATCCTGCCGGCCAGCCTCGGCGCGTTCGTCACGCTCGCCATGCTCATCACCAGCGTGGTCTACGACCGGCTCTTCGTCAAGGCCGCACGAAGGTACACCAATAACCCAAGAGGCTTCACCCTCCTCACGAGGATGGGCATCGGGCAGGTGATCCAGGTCGTGACGATGGCGACGGCGGCGCTCACCGAGAACTGGCGCCTGAGCTACGCGCGGAGCCTTGGGCTGGACGTGACCGGCGGCCAGCTCCCCCTCACCATCTTCGTCCTCCTGCCACAGTACGTGCTGATGGGCTTGGCGGACGGGTTCGTGCTGGCGGGCGAGATCGAGTTCTTCTACGACCAGGCGCCCGAGAGCATGAAGAGCCTCGGCACGGTGCTCTCGCTCACGGCGTACGGCGTGGGCAACGTCCTTAGCAGCTTCTTCTTGCCGCTGGTGGCGCGGGTGACGCGCGAGAGGACGGGCCAAGCCTGGGTGTCCAATAACCTCAACGCCTCACACCTCGACTATTACTACGCGTTCCTCACGTTGCTCGCTATCGCCAACTGTGTCGCCTTCGCTGTGCTTGCCAGTAGGTACAAGTACAAGGTGGAGTCTACTGAGACCATCACCATCGACGCGGACGTGCAGCTCAAGCGCTAGGCCGCCTACAAGATTCACTCTGAGCTAATGGTTTTTGTTGTTGTTGAGGAAACACTCTGAGCCAATGGCTTGACACTACAGAAAAAGTATAGAACGTAAATTATTGGAAGTGTATTGATCAAACCATCATGGGGTATATATAGATTATGAGCCCTTTATGCAGAATTGCACATACCAGCCAGTTAACTCAGAAACTCAAACTGGCGGGGAAAGATGGGATATGCATTTACACGCCAACACTCCCCCTCACGCGTGGCTTCCTCGGGCCTAAACGTGGATTGAAAGTAAGCTGCAATATTTTATTTTGAAATTGCATCAGTCGGGTCTTGAACTCAAGACCTCTTGGTTCTGATATCATGTAGAACTGTACGCACCGGCTAGTTCACCGAAAAGTTTAAGCTGGTGGAGAAAGATGGGCTATGCGTTTATATGTGAACACTTTCACATATCAAGGTGGGGTCTACTCAGAGCATCAGCATTGATGTGGAATTGCAGCTGAAGCGCTAGGCCGCCTAGAAGATTCACTCCGAGCCAATGGCTCGACACTGGAAAAAAAACTATGAAAATCTAAAGGACACATATGTGTGTGTGTGTGTGTGTGTGTCCTTTTATGGTATCTATTGAAAATAGGATTGTCTAAGTCGATGCTATATTCGTGAGATCTTACGTGAAGATTCGTGCAAAATTTTCTTTCGTATATTTCCTTTTTTTCCTTTTCATGTGTTATATCATTTGACTAAAACTTGGTTAAGTCCTAGTCGACTAAACTAAGCGGCAACCCTGCAAAATTCATCGTTGTTGTTCTATTCGAGCATGAATTTGTGGTAGTCATTCTCTGCCTGCTGCCTTGTCTTAAGCCCTCCTTGAAAGGAGCAGCCTCGGTAACACTTGACTTGTTCATCGCATGTTGGCCGTGAACTATATACTCCTGGAATCCTACCTTGTACACAGCATACCAATTCACCTCCAGACTAACATGAGAATAAGCCTGGGCATAAATTGGGTCGGCTTTGTCAAGCCCAACCTCCAAATCTCAAGCTCAAGCCAGGCCCAGCCTGAAACACATGAACATTGCCATTTTTTAATTAAAATAATTAATTTCAGAATATTTAAATGATATATTATACCTATATTTGTAGTAAAATAGTGATTTATGCCCTGCCCGGATGTTGGCTTTCTGGCCGGGTTGTCCATGCTCGGGTCTACATGAGAGCAACAAGTCAAGCAGCTGAAGGGTGAATAAGCCAAGGCTGACGAGCCGGGCGTGTTGAGTGCGGGTATGGGCGCGCACTGGGCTCGCTGGGCGCGTCGGGTCCGGGCAGTAGGGCGTGCGTGTGTGCGTGCGTTGGGTGCACGGGCGTGTCTGTGCACCAGAGTAGCGTGTAGGGGCCGTTGGCAAGCCACGTGGGGCGATCGGGGTGCGTTGGGCTGGTGCTCACCGCGAGACGCGGGCGTGCGCAGGTGTGTAGCGTGCGCGGTCAGAGCATGCAGAGCGCGGAGATGATCGTGGGCGAGTGGAGGCGTGGGTACGTGCCCAGGGCGCCAGGTCGGGGCTATAAAGCCGCCTGGTGACGTTGTAATGGTCTGACACAGTCGAGTTCGTGCTCGAGGAAGAAAAGGGGGCGTTCGTGCGCCGGGAAAAACTCTGTGTCCGCCGTTTCTCTGAATCTCTCTGAACTTCTTCTTCTTCTCTTCGGTGAGCTAGCCACGGCAGCTGTGAGCGAGCAGAGCGAGAGGGAGAGGCGAGCTAGGGCTAGAGAGTGGAGGTTCCAACAATTGGCATCAGAGCCACGTGGAGGAGGGAGCTCGCCGGCAATGTCCATCGTGCCGTACGCCGGCGGATCGGGTAGCACGATGGCGCATGCAGCGCCGGTACTCACGGGGGAGAACTACATCACCTGGGCCATCAAGGTGGAGGCCGACCTAGACGCCGCCGGGTTATGGGAGGCGGTGGTGCCGCCGGAGACGCTGCGTCGGCGGTGATCGCGAAGAAAGATAAGCCGGCGCGGGCTTACCTACTCCGGGCGCTCACCGACGATTTGCTGCTGCAGGTGGCCGCAAAGAAGACCGCGGCGGAGATATGGAGCAGCCTGAAGGCCCGGTTCGTCGGAGCTGATCGTGTGCGGGCGGCGGGGCTGGGCACGTTGCACGGGGAGTGGGAGCTCCTGCGCATGGCGAGCGACGATTCGCTGGACGCGTTCGCAGGGAAGATCAGTGCCATGGCGGCGCGCTACGTCAGGCTGGGAGCAAAGCTTGACGACGCGGCGCTGGTGAAAAAGCTCCTGGACTGCGTCCTGGATCGGCTGTACGTGGCGGTCGCCGGGATGGAGCAATTCTGCAACTTGTCGGAGCTGCTCTTCGAGGACGCGCTCGGGCGCCTGAAGGCGTTTGACGAGCGGCTGCATCGTTGAGGACAGGCAGGCGGCGAGGGCGCGGATGGGCAGCTGTTGTACACCGCGGCACAGTGGCGTGCGCACGAGCGGCGTCGGGGCGGTGCACGCGGAGAGGACGACGACGACGGCGCGGCGAGCACGGCATCAGGCAGCGGAGACAATCGCCGCGGGAAGTGCTACAAGTGCGGTGTCAGAGGGCACTTCAATAGGGAGTGTCCCCTGATGCGGAAGGAGCCGGTCGCCGGGCGTGCGCTGCTGGTGGACGACGGCGTCGAAGACGCCGGGCTGCTCTGAGCCGCGGCTTAGGGCGTGAATGAAGGGTGAATAAGCCAAGGCTGACGAGCCGGGCTGTCGAGTGCGGGTATGGGCGCGCACTGGGCTCGCTGGGCGCGTCGGGTCCGGGCAGTAGGGCATGCGTGTGTGCGTGCGTTGGGTGCACGGGCGTGTCCGTGCACCAGAGTAGCGTGTAGGGGCCGTTGGCGAGCCACGCGGGGCGATCGGGGTGCGTTGGGCTGGTGCTCACCGCGAGACGCGGGCGTGCGTAGGTGTGTAGCGTGCGCGGTCAGAGCATGCAGAGCGCGGAGATGATCGCGGGCGAGTGGAGGCGTGGGTACGTGCCCAGGGCGCCGGCTCGGGGCTATAAAGCCGCCTGGTGACGTTGTAATGGTCTGATACAGTCGAGTTCATGCTCGAGGAAGAAAAGGGGGCGTTCGTGCGCCGGGAAAAACTCTGTGTCCACCGTTTCTCTGAATCTCTCTAAACTTCTTCTTCTTCTCTCCGGTGAGCTAGCCACGGCAGCTGTGAGCGAGCAGAGCGAGAGGGAGAGGTGAGCTAGGGCTAGAGAGTGGAGGTTCCAACAGCAGCAAGCAAAGGAACACAACATATGGAAGAGAAACAACATACACTACCAGAATAACTGGCGATGCCGACGTCCCCGTTGGCATAGATTGGCCTATCCCGACGGCCCAGCCCAAGCCGTCGGCATAGAAAAGCCGTCGGCGTATATCCATCTATGCCGACGGCCCCCGTCGGCAAAGCTCAGCCGTCGGCGTCGCGAGAAATATGCCTACGGTGGCCGTCGGCATAGAGGAGCCCGTCAGCATAGCATGTGGGCCCGGCTACCCGAGCGGAAACGGCCTTTTGATGGCGTCAGTCTACGCCGACGGGCTAATGGCGGCCGTCGGCATAGCCCCCCACGTCATCGATCCGCGTCGCCCGC